AGGAGTATCTCAGAGTGCAGAAGAACTCAGATATCGCACATTCAGAATAAAGCATCTGCTTCAGTTATGGAGCTCTGATTAAAAAAACGCCACAACATTAGTGTAATGAAGAGGGGATTTTATTTGGGGAGGGTGGGTTGCAAAGGGAAAGTCACAATAACGTCTGTTTATTTGGCTTTTCCTTGCTTAATCATGATAGACTGCTTACTGATAGTAATACCGTAATGATGAAAACAAAAATGGTTTAAGCCATCCCAAACCAAAGATAATGACTGAGTGCCCTAGAATGCCCTCTTCCACGTGTCCACCACTCCATGGTATTCCTTAGTTGAGATTTCACAGCACTAGCATAAATGCAGTCTTAAAATACCTTAGGAGAAAGAAGCTGAAGAAGAAAGTACTTCAGGGATGTCCTCTGAGAAGTAAAGAAAGAATAAGCATATTCTGTCTAGAGAAAAGGCACATGCTAAAGGATATTGCCAAGTTATTCTAGCATTACACAAGCTAGTTTCAAAACCACCTTTTTGAACTGTATTAGGCTGTAGTGTTCTTTAAAAGAGAGGCATTCATTTATAGTCCATAGAAAATTTCAGCCCCCAAATCTGAAAACCCCTGAAACTTTGATTTTTAGAGCAGCCAAAGTTCTAATAGCTTTCACGTTTAAACATCAGAAACAATTCTGTCTCAAAACCAGGATAAAAATTAATGAAGCGCGCTGAATCTTTTTACAAAGTAGAAAAATAAGAACAAGTCTTTGAGGAGACGTGGCACATAAATCCCTGCTTCTGCACAGACATGCAAGAAGATGGATTAATTCCACGAGCAGCACAAGAGAACAGAAACGGAATAAAAGAGGTGGCTGGAAATGAAAAAAGGCTAAGGAAACTGCAAAGACATAAGACCCTTATTTAAACTCCTTGGATCCAATAATAAGTAGTGCATGACAGTTTGTCAATAAGGGCAAGAAACTCACTCAAAGGAGGAGTCGTGTGAGGACTTCTGACATCTCCGCAAATGAGAGTTGATAACAGACAAGTAATTTCATATTTTTCTTACATTTCAAAGGCCTTCCACACCAAACAGGCAGGTGCTCTGCAGGCGGTAATTTCATCATCAATTAACTGTTCAGTTCTGGCCGTTCATTTGGTTCAGACTCAACACCAAGCCTTTCAGTTCCTTTTAAGACAGAGAGAGATTTCTCAGTCCAGTGCCTGGCTGAAGACTCCTGCAAATTGCTCTCCAACCACTGCTCTGAATTATTACAGACACCGGGAGGCAAAGGGAACAGGAAACTCAATTCAACAACAGGAGCTACCGAGCGCTCCTCCCCATGCAACTGTACACCTACCACATGGGAGAACAAACCAAAGAAATCCACACAAACGAGCTCCGCAGTCTGGAAAGGCTGGAGTGCTTCAACAGCTCAATGTCACTTAATTAAAATTGTGTGCTTGGGTACAATCTTTAAATCACTTTTCTAATTAGGAAATGCACTCTGGCCCAGGTCATTAGCTGCGCAACGTCAGCAGGGTATCAAAACAGCTTTGAGTCTAAGTGCACTAGAGATTAGTCTCGTTATTCAGCAACAGTCTCTCAATCAGAACAAAAATTCCTCCTAAAAACACGCACCTAGTCAAGGAAAGGGGTCCAGGAATCAGTCCTCAGTACTGAACAGCACACGGAGTGCTGGCTTAATCTAATTGCGTTGCTGTTGCTTTTTCCTGGCAAGCTATTTAACAAAATACACAGCGATGATAGAAGAATTGACTCTCACTTCTACTACAGAAGATAATTAAGATTTGTTTGGTGGAACAAAAGACAAATCAGGGCTGGAGAAAAATCAACATAATTTTCAGTGTTTTTTGACAGTTGGAGAGAGAGTATTAAAGTGGATTAAATGCAATTATCCTAGTTATTTTTTCTCTGTTGATTCTGAAAAATGACACAGAGATTATGAACTTCAGGACAAGATACAGCATCAGTTTGGAGCAAATGGCTTTTTTCAGGCATGGAATGAATGACCCACAGATTTGCTTCACCAATAAGTTGCCAAAGGCAATGAAGCACTACCCGAAAAGCAGATCAAGACTGACAGAAGTGAGAGAAATGCCCTGGTGTTCCAGGTTAGCAAGAGATTAATGTGAAATGGATTAAATAGTGCACAGTCTTTTTAAAATAAAAAAATAAACAAGTCCTCCCACTGGTTTGGAAACAGGAAAGCACCAGCACGTCTCTTGATTTAGTTGGGACCCAGATTCTTCATCTTCTTTCAGTTTTCAAGTCTCGGACCCTGATTTTGAGCACTGACATCTCATAATGACTTCAAAGAACAGTTTGGACTCTAGCACTCCTGAAAGTCTGGCTGAAAAGACACATGCATAGCCGCCTCTTCTACCAAAGCAACAGCATCTACAACAAAGCAATCACAGCCACCTGAGTCACCACTGTATTGCTGCCCACAAAGATATGGCTACAGCCTCATCCTCTAAATATTCTAAGTATCTTTAGATACCCCAATTTGCTGTTCTTGATGCCCATGCTCCTCTCTCCAGTTGTGAAGAACAAGCGTCAAATGTACCTTTCCCCCCCCTTTTTATTTTTGTTATTTCTGGTCTTCCCAAACACTGCCTAGGGAAATGATTTAACAAGCTAATATACATGAAGTGAAATGAAATGATCCCAGGGTACTTTCAGGGTTAGGCTCAAGCTGTAGAACTAGATTTGAAAGGCAAACCTCATGCTGGTTTAAGCTAACACAATGGATTTAACAGACAGAGGGTTCAGCACAAGTAACTTGATCACTTGAGGTCACAATTAGAGACACCCAAATACAGACCACCGGACACGGCCAGAACGCATTCCAAATGCAGAAGACCTGCTGGCATTTTGCTTGTAGCATAAACCGCATTGCAAAGATGTTTGTGGTTCCGATGCCTGGTAACACATACTGCATATAACAAGTGATAGAAGTGTGCAGAGAAAAAACACATTTTGTTGTCACAGGCTTTTATACTCTTTAATTCTGCACAATGCTGAAACATCGTTACCTGCTTATTCCAGTAAATGAAAAGCCAAACCATATGGGTAGATTTCCAGGTGTCTCACACAAAGAAGGAGAAAAAGGAAAATAAAAAGTGCTCTCCATATTCTAAACACGGGCACAGACTTGAATGACAAAGGCTTTTTCTTCATCTTATTATCTTTTAACAAAAATCCCCTGAAGAGCTGTACGCCAACTCATTACTAACTTCTGTGCATGAATTTATAAACAGTTTCAGGTAGCTCAGTTCAAAACATTTCTACTTTTGGTATTAAGTCTCAGTGGCATTTGAACAGAAGGGAAAAAAATCAGATTTTAGGCTTCATTTCAAGATTATGATTTAATTGAGGGCTTTTTTTTGGCCAAATATATGGAGAAGAACTAGAACATTATAAAACAAGACACATGAAAATACTGAGCTGACTACAGATTAGAAATATGTGAAATAACGTCTACAGAGACAGTGCTTATAAAAAGGGAGGTTAATGGGAAATTGGTTCACAATGATTAACAGGTTGTCGAACGCCCATATTATCTTTTAAAAGACAGGTTATTTTATCCCTCAAGCAAATAATGCAGCAAAATATTTGAACCTTCTCAGCAGAATACAGCATGCTTTTTCCTACATCTGAAAGGTGATAGAAATTACCCTATTGTCTCCAGACTGCAGAATGGCCTGAAGCCTGGTTATGAAGCCCCCTGGACATTGTACAGTGAGGCTTAGACATGCAGAAGCAGAGCGCAGGCGATTGTCACAGGGCAGGCTGCTCGGCACACTCAGTTCTACAGAATGATAAGGCTTTCCAAAAAGATATCTCACAGATACAAGAGAGACAGATCATAAAAGAACGCGGGCCATAAAGTTACTGATCCTTATTTGCAGTCTAAAAATTTTTACTATAACTCACCACAGGTATGAATACTTTAAAGGAGAAGGCTAAAAAACTTGGGGTCAAACTACATTGTTTTCACATCAGTAGGCACATACGGACATGGCAAAAGCAAAACACGCAGTCATAGCCAGACAGAAGGAACATTATGCACAGCTCTCCCATACATCTGCCAGGAACAAGAGTAAGTTGTGTTGACAAAATAAAACATGATCTGCATATGAAAGATAGGACGGCCCAGAAAGAGGAAGCACTTGGTTAACTCAAAGTATAGAACACCCGCCAGTATTAAGGTCATTCACTGAAACGTGCTTTCAATGAAGAAGACACACTGGGTAATGACCATGAGAAGGATGAAAAGCCACCAAGTAAAACATGAAGCTACAGAAAGCTGAATGAAAGGTTGGCTGAAAGCGCTGCAGCCCAATAAACATCCAAAGGAAAGTATGGAGCAAGACGAGATACAGATGTGGGTTATCCAGCAGGATACAAAATAGAGACTCACACTGAACTGATAGAATTCAGCAAGTCAACAGAAAACAAAATTTCTGCCAAACAAAACTGAAGTCTATGTGAGTGAGGATTCCAGCATATCTGATCTTGTCACTGATACTCTTTGCTCTTTTCATTGAAGAGGACTACCATGAGGAAATTGAAGAGCCTTGTGCTGAGAAATCCTTATACATCAGTTGTTGGCAGAAGATAAAAATAAGCACCTAATAACTCTTAGCACATACATTGTACGTAGCAAAAGGAAGATTAGAAATGCTGAAAACATTCTTCAGGAACAAAAAACGTCAACTGAAAATGAGTTGGGGGAGTCAGAGACTGGAAAGGGGCATTTACCATTACACTGGTTTGACTTCAATAACTCCAAAAATAAAGCTGTATTATCATGCTTGTCCAAGTGCAGTCACACTTACTGGACTGTCAGTAAACTGCCAGTCACTCAGAGCCGGCTCTACAACTAGTAATGCGCTGCTTTGGCAAAGGGTATTAAACCATTTTCTGTTATAAGGCCAAGAACTACAGGATATACAGTCTGGCTGAGCATTTCTAAGCTGTTTTACCTCAAACATCTCTTGCTCTGTCCTACGATGATCATCCAGGAGTTGCTCCATGTAGGTCAGATTATGGAATTTTTCTATATAAATACTGTATTGTTTCTGCAGTTGCTCCTCAATCTTCTCATACTCATCCATAAAAGCAGGCCTGGAGAGAACAAGCACAAACTACTCAGCGAAATATTGACCTGTATACGCAGAACTCTGAAATAAGCATTTTTGGGTTTGCAGCTTCTTTTCCACGTCTACTAAACTAACCTGAAAGGACCTTTTGTTATTAAGGTTCCACACTACTTTAGAGACTAAAAGCATACGACAGAAAATCTCATTAAACCATCCTGCAAAAATTACATATAGCAAAGGAAAGGTTATTGCGTACCCACTACCATTTCCTTTCAAAGAGGCAGAAAAGCAGCATTTTGGCCCCTTTCGCAGGCAAAACTAAGTTAATTGTCCTGCTGTTCCATGACTCCAAAAAACTAGCTTGTAGCATGGCTGGTAAACCACCTACTTTGCCAGAGACTTATTTGCTATAAGAATGTGCTGTATCATTACAAGCATAACTGGACTTGACACCAGTAAGTGACAATGTCCTTATACTACAGAGCTAACAGTGGCACCCCAAAGAACACTACTGCTCTTTGATGCTTCACATCGACCCAATACACTTCCTCCAAAGTGTTACTGATCCAAATGTGTACGTGAATCAATGTCATTCCTCCCACCACTCATTTTTCTAATTTTTTTTATTTTTCATATTAGGTCAAAAGCAGAGCATGATCTTGCAGATTGTATAAACCTGCAGTTTAATTAAGGGCAAGAAATCAAACCAAACTGTGAATCTGAACATCTTGATTTTATGGTAGGCTGTACCACTGCCTAGAGGAACTGATCCTAACAAGAGATGCATAATGAACTTTTTTTAATTGGTGGCTAAGCAGGCTAGAAGCCTCTGGCAACAGAGGGAATGTTTGCACCAGTTGCCGTTTTCAGCAGAACTACCTGACACAGCCTATGTTTAATGACAAAGGAAAAGACATGCTACCTGCCCGTTTTGTACAGCTCAAGCAGCAATTAAGCAACCTCAACAAATAATATTCTGGCCACTTTTAACAGCCCTGAAATTCAGATTTCAAATACATGGTAACAGAAAAATGAAGAATTACAATCCAGACTGGACACTTCTAGAGGAGAGACCCTCTCTCTTCCGCAGACCATCATCTCGGTCTCATTACAGACTTCCCTCCTCCCTGCTCTAAGCATTAACAATGCACAGTTCCATCATTTAAGCTAACACTTCTTATTTATGCAGTACATAATCAGTTCATAATCTTTACCGAACACTCTGTAGCGTCTGTAGCCTCTTCTGACTTCTTTCCAGTTCCAATTTTCGTTTTTCAATCTTGGCTTCCAAATTGGCTTCATCCAAAGCCACATTATTCAACATGTCTTTAGTCTTTTGGACTTGTTCCTAAAAGAGAAGGATGGTGAACCATGGCTTGCACTGGAATAATTAGAATTATCTTTCAGATGCTGACTGTTCTTCTGTACAATCTCACATCTCAGGCTATCAAATAACTTTATAGCAATGACTTAGAACATAAACCGGCCAGGCAAGGAAAGTTATCTTCAAGATAAAGGTCGCTTTTATAAAGAACTTACTCTCTCCAAATATCTGCATCCTTTTCTAAGTCTTGCCTTATCCATCTTTTCAAAATCTGGGAAGCATCCTGAACATTGCAACACATGCTACAGGAACCAGAAGGGGGAAGTGGGAATATTCCAATTTATTACAGTGAGCTGAGGACATTCAGGAAATCACGAGAGTCTTTTGAGTGAGAGAAAGAGGACTGCACACTTGCCGAAATTCCAGCAGTAACTGTTAGGTGCTGCTCAGCTACAATAGGTCATTTCATTAACTGGTCCAGAACTAAAACAGCTGAGGTACGTGTTATTGATATTTCCCAAGAAGCCAATTGCTGTACTAGGCTGCTGTTAGTTTATTAGCACTACTGCCCACAATAGCACTGCATATTAACAACATTTAGAATTTATATAGACCGCGAGTGGGAGCAGAAACATAAGGAAGGATCGCCTGGAGTGTCTATTGATTATGCACTGGCTGTTTAAATCTGGAACTCTACTCCTTGTAATTATACAATTGGACTGGATGCAGTTTGCAGTTAAATAACTTATGGTAATCACTAGGATTTAATTAACCACCATACTTGCACAGTGGCTGTGAGTGCAGCTAATGGTTCAGAAATACAGGAACCCAAGCACTGGAGCAAGGACAGTGTGGCCAAGACTGGGACAGACAAAAGGTCCTCCAAAACAAGAACCATAACGATGTACTGGCGTGGCGCTAATTAGCACAGTGCCAGTTCTTCTCACCCCTTGGCCAGCTCAGCCATCCTGCTTCCAGAGCCCAACTTCACAACTCCAGAGGTATCAGCACATGTCGAACTACCAAGCACATGCCGTGCAGCCCTGACTCTGCGAAGTTTACATGGCTTATGCAATGTAGGTGGGATGTAGATTTCTGTGCTGATTTAGGCAATTTTTATCCTTCCTCTAGAGCTTCTGGGGTGACTACTGAGCTCCTAACAGAGGCAGGGAATATGACTAAAATGCGGAGGGGTTTTCTGTCATTTTCTCTTAAGAGAAAGGCCAAGGGAGGCCAAGTGCAGTTCTTTGATGCATCAACTGGAGGAATGTTTCTCCGTATTGAATGAACACAGTTATACCGTGCAACAGTCTGAAAGCAGAGCAGGTCTTAACATGTTCTCCTAAGTAGCACTGCTACTGTTTACCCTTTCTGCTGCAGGCTGTGATTTCTGACTGCCAGCTCTCAGTCATCACTGTTCAGACACCTCCTTCACTCTGCCAGGAAAGCTATCAGTTTCAATTAACAGGCTTGTTCACTTTGAACACAACAGATTTCCCAAATAAACCATCAGGATCATCAGTGACCATATTCATTACCACGACACAAGGAGTCATCACAGACTGCTCTCTGCCTTGATGAACTTCTGTTCACACATCTGATGTTACCTAAAGACCAAAGTCTGCATTAGGAGTGCAGCACTACTTGGTCCAGCCAGCTGAAGGAGATGTGTGCTTTAGCACTCTTAACCCAAGGATGTTTATAAAAAGAGCTCTGTTCTTCTTGTAGGAGAGGAATGATAATTTTGCGATTAAATAAATATCATTTTGCTTACCAGAACACAGTCAATGGCAACTTTCATCATCTTCTCAGCCTCATTGATCTCCAAAGGTCTGGCAATAGATTCTGTTCTTGCTTCCTATGAAATAAAGATACAACAGTATATTTAAACACTACACAAAAGAACTAATATATGCAGAACTGAGGGTGGCCAAACAACAATGATATGATCATCTGCATAGTAAGTGGAGGGGGATTTAGTGTTTATTCACCAAGGCTCAGATGATTTAAAGAACAGGAGATGATGAAAAAGTCAGTTAAGTGAGGCTGAGATTAACACTGAGCAATTAAGGCATCTTTTCAAAACAAGGTAAGTGCTACTGTCTGAAGTGCAAGTATTCTTGAATGCAGATTTTTTGGTTATTACATGTTGAACAAGGTATGGAACGTAGCACAGAAGATTTCATCGTCTTTACAACAGGACCCATGAAAACAATAGTGCAGGTGGATGAGCAAGTGTCACAAAAATTGTGGAGAAACCAGCACAATGAATCCATCTAACTCATCCAGGCAGCTGGGGCAGTCAGCCCGTGCCTCCTACGCCCATATGAAAGTCAGATGATGGAGATGTATGGGCTTCTCCAATTCTGATAACCAAGTAGTTCAGAATCCTCATCAAAACAGTGATCCTTATTTAGATCCCAAAGGATGAAAAAACCCTCTTCCATCCTCGGCAGTTTTGGGGGCAGATGGGCTTAGGGATATTCAGCATGCACTTGTCTGTACGGTGTCTCACAACACTGACCTGGTCATTATATGAAAACATTGGATTACTTGTTTGCTACTGGGATGACGGGAGGGAGATTTTTGCAGCTAAATGTCCTTAAAATCATCTTATGTTGGCAAACCGTTTGGTAACAGGTGGATAAAGATGGAAATAGCATCTCTGTAGAAAACATCTGACTAAGAATCTAAAAACACTTCATACACATTGCAAGAGGCTGCACCCAGCCTACTACAAGCTGAATTCTGGCAGCAGATACAATTACTCTGTTAAGTTACCATGCCAGACACTCCAGGTTGCACAGGCAAGTACTAGCAGAGGCAGCCTAACTCGCTCTCCACCAACTCAAGTTCAGGGGGTTGCACGGTGAACCCAATCAGGGAGCTCATCCAGCCAAAAAAAATCAGCTTTTTGTGCTGTGCTTATTTCTCTGCTGGATCAGCTCCCTGAATGAGCCTGCCACGTGCTGCATGAAGGCTTTTTTTTTTTTTTTCCTGGCACAAGAAAAGAAATAGAAGAAATACTATGCTAGGGATAGTGACAGGAGCTACATCTGTTAGCGGCAATGACAGCTTACTCTGCCTAAAGCGCTTGTGAACATTCCCCTGTCCACACAGAAATACAAGCTCCAAGCAGCAGAAAGTTAATTCGATTGAAAATAAGACACGAAGAGTCTGCACAATACATATTCCTGAGTAACTCCACAGGTAGACACTTTTGGAGGAAGACTGGCCAAGAATAATGTAGCTCAGTAGCTATTCTGCCAACATTATGCATTTAACAAGCTCAACAAAATGCCTATTTATTTGTGAGGACTTTGCCTGAACTGAAATAGCAGCCAGGATCAGCCTGGTGCAGACACAGTCCTGCCAACTGTACTCTCTTCTTCTGACGGCAACGGCGAGATCTCCGCTACAGAGCGAATACATTTCAAACAAAATGGTTTATCACTCAGCAGGGAGAAGGAAATGATTTTCCTTCCCACTTTCAAAAGAGATAAAAAAAAACCAAAACAGCAAGGACCTTAGTTTTTAATTATAAACAACTCCCTTACCAATTTCCTTGCAGTAGCCTGGTAAAACACCCACCGAACACGTACAAGTCCCTGCAGCTTGTCTTGGGTCAGGGTAACCAATGGGTTTTAGATAAATTTCTGAGGATCTACCCTTTGAAGTTGGAATCATTTATACAAGTTTAATGTCTTTTCTTCTTCTACCTGTCCTCGACTACTCACAGAAGTTTCACATACAGACCACAGTCTTTACGCAGGAATCCACATCATTTTCTACACAAGGTTGAGTCCTACAGTCACATCTGCTTGGAAGGATCTGGCAGGCCAAGGAAGAGTAGTGTAAAAGCAGAAATTTGTATTTTCAGACTGCGGAGTCAGGGCTAAACTGGAAAAGGAGAAGGTAGGGGCAGTTAACCTCCTCACAGTGCAGCAGACCGAGACCAGAATCGAAGTGGACCATTACAGCTTCTGTACACACACGGCTCCTCTCTAAGACTCTGCATTCGTACATACATTTTTCATTTCACTGCTACAAACAGTGCCATTAACCCAATTTTGACACTTTGGAGTAGTAACTGTGAGTGGAAAATATAGTAACTATAATGGAAAAAAATAGTAACATATAATAGAAATACAATGGGAAAATCAATATATGTTGAGGGTATCAAAACTGTTGACAATTTTTTTAATGGATGTTTGTAACAGCTTCCCTGGGTATCCGTCCCTGGGCCATTTCCTGTTAACCTCTCCAAGAGAAAACTTCTATTTCTAACATCTCTTTCCAGGAAGGACGCTGCAACTGGCCATATAAAAGAGAATTAAAAGGAAGGCAGCTCGCATAAATATGCCTGGATAAAAATAACTACTCCACGAAGATTATGAAGACGTTAGGAAAAGGATTTACTTTAAAATACCAAAATTGGTCGATTTAAACATTGTTAAGCCATTAGCAAGTTAAAGAAAATTAATTTAACACAACCCCTTTGACTATCTCCGACTCCTCACACGAGCAAATAAAGCACATTTTCCCTCCAGCCCAACTCACCCTCACTAGTATTTCTTACCCAATATAAAATATGCAGTAGCACGACAACTGAGATTTTTAAAATCTGGCTTTACACAAAGGGTCTTCTGTTCACGCTTAAATCTGTGGATACAAATAAGCTGTGTACTTGAAGGCAAAACCAAATGCCTAAATTTGCCCAAATACCAGGTATTACATTGTCACCGGCTGTACTCACAATTCCTCGTGCTCAAAAAACGTGTGTAAATGAAACAGCGCTGAAAAATACGGCCACGTTCATTTCCTTTTAAAGTAATGTACTCTTTGCAATTAGGTGTACTAATCAGAATATGCATTATAATACACAAGAGGAATTAACCATCAAAAATAGAGTTCTCGGGAGAGATGAAAAATATAGAAAAAAATTATCAAGGCAAGAGGAGGTAAGAAGCAGAACAATTTAGGACTACACCTGGTAATTACAACTTGAGAAAACAAACATATGCAAAACCAGAGAGGTATTCATGAACAAGCTGATTGTTTACCACTTACCAGCGCTTCCTGTTCAAAGTGTCCAAGAGCTCCCTGGCTATAGTTTTACATGATAAATACTAATTAAAAATCAAGGAAGCCAAGTGTAAAATTATTTTTGATGAACTAAAGCTGACAATTATTAAAGAAAACACACGAAGGCACGCAAGAGACACCATTTACTGGCATTATTTATCTTCCCTGGTTGGACTAATATTTGATGCTGCATGGAAGGGCTGAGACTTTAATTCTTCAAGTTTTGAATCTTTGGACAAAGCCAACTGGAAGCACTAACAAATTAGTTGGCTGGTTTAGACTTGAAAACTTTGTTTTCTTTGGAAATGAGAACTTCATTACAAAGTAAGAAAGATTTCTAATCAAAGACTAGCTGCCTGCCCAATCAGGCAGAAGAGAGCACAGCCTGACAGGACGTTCCCCACAGGACATGGAAAGTTAGCGCTGAAGCCAGCTCTGCCCAAATTGCACCAGTTTTGGCATCAAAAGTGAAGATAAATTTCCTTAGAGCAAAACTGTCCTGCAGTCATTTCAAGAAATAACACTGATCTTACCGCCTTCAAAACCCCATCTGTCTAAAGAATTTACTCGTCTCAAATCTGCATCCCTGCTAAGCGATGCTCCCCTGGGTCAAACACCAGCGAGGGAGAAGGCCAAAGCAGATCTTCAGAGCAGAAGCCCAAAGTTCTGTCCACAGGAATCAGATCAGCTTCCTGGAAGAGGCAACAAGCTGCTGTTCAGGCCATTTGCTGCAGGAACCACCTTTTGGCAGAGAGAATTCAGCCCGACACAGAACCGCAAGTTACCATTATTCTCAAAACACTCAGTTTAGTGTCGCAGTGCAGCTTCTTTCTGCCAAAGGACAGCGAAGCAACTGGTTCATCTAACGAGGAGTTCTACCTTGCTCAGCAAAAGGCATTCTGTAGGATACAAATACAGAGGTAGTAACCTTACCAAACCCTCTTGTAGCTTTACTACCAAATACCCAGCTAAATGTAAAAAAGCTGTTTGAAAAATAAAATGCAGAAAAGCAGCACAGGACTTGTCACTAAAGATCTATTCCACAAAACTCTGCAGCCTCAAATTTCCTGGGTGTGGAAACACAGGGATTTCTCTGCCCCTCCAGGATCGTTAGGGAATACCTATCTTTTATTCAAAGTGTAGTAGTACCTTTTAGGGTACACACACAATCTCTGAAATACATGGTAACACGCAGGTGACTCCATTGCCTGAACAGTCTGATCTCCCAGGTATGCCTCAAATCCCGTATTATATTTGCCAGCCCCCTTCAAATGTCTTGGACACTTTCAGACATCTGAAATAAGACTGTGTGTGTATATTTAGGTGCCTGTATCGCATGTTAAAAAAAAAGCACAGTACAGCATTGTCATCTTCCCAAATACCAACCTACCACCACAAACAAAAAGACCCAGATAAAAGCTCCTGAAAGTTTGGATTCGGGCCCACTTACATGTCAAGTATCAAACAAGAAATATTCTATACTGACAATTAAAACTGTTGAGAAAATGATGCAAAACTCTCCAAAGGCATCAAGAATTAGCAGGAAGCACTACAGAGGGAACCGGTACGTTGCCAAGCATACGGGCTCCACAGACCACATACTGGCAGGGGATCAAGATAACAGCTCCTGGCATCTTCTGACCTTAGCAGAAACTGGTAGCAGCAAACAGCACTTTCGAGGCACACTGTACCTTTCCATTGCATGCAAGATGTTATAATCTGGTTCAGAATCCTCCGATGAAGGAAAATGTTGGGAGGACTTCCAAGAAAGCA